ATGGAAAAACAACACACAGTGATGTGCTGCCTTTAAGAAACACACTTTACCTATAAAGACACACTAGACTGAAAATAAAGGGATGGAAAGAGATATTGCCTGCAACTGAAAATCAAAAAAAGAGTAGCAATACTGACATCAGACAAAACAGACTTCAAAACAAAAACTATAAAAAGAGACAGGGTCATTATATAATGATACAGGAGTTAATTCAGCAAGAGGATATAACAATTGTAAACCATATATGCACCTAACAGTAAAGCAGTCAGATACATAAAGTAAATATTGTTAAAGCTTAAGAGAGATAGACCCCAGTACAATAATACCTGGAGTCTTCAACATCCAATTTTCAGCACTGAACAGATCAGACAGAAAATTAACAAAAAGTAACATTGGACTTAATCTGCAAAATAGGCCAAATGAACTTAATAGATATTTACAGAACATTTAATCAAATGGCTGCAGAATACACTTTCTTCTCCTGAGCTCCTGGATCATCCTCAAGGATAAAGACCATATGATGTTAGGCCACAAAACAAGTCTTAAAACATTAAAGAAAAAAAAAAAAGTATTGTGAAGTATCTTCTGTGACTATAATGGAATAAAATTAGAAATCAATCACAAGAGGAATTCTGGAAACTATACAAACACATGAAATTTACACAATATGCTTCTGAATGACCAGTAGGTCAATGAAGAGATTAAGAATTGAAAAATTGGGCAATAAAAAAAAGAATGAAACCCTGTCATTAGCAACAACATGGATGGGACTGAAGGTCATTATGTTAAGTGAAGTAAGCCAGGCACAAAAAGACAAACATAATATGTTCTCACTTATTTGTGGGAGCTAAAAATTAAAACAACTCATCCGGGCATGGTGGTTCATGCCTGTAATCCCAGCTCTTTGGGAGGCCAAGGCAGGTGGATTACCTGAGGTCAGGAGTTCAAGACCAGCTTGGCCAACATGGTGAAACCCTGTCTCTACTAAAAATACAAAAAAAAATGAGCCAGGTGAGGTGGTACAAGCCTGTAATCCCAACTACACAGGAGGCTGAGGCAGGAGAATTGCTTGAGCCTGGGAGATGGAGGTTGCAGTGAGCTGAGATTTTGCCCCTGTACTTTAGCCAGGCCAACAGAGTGAGACTCTGTCTCAGCAACAACAACAAAAAATGAACTCATGAGATACAGATAAAATGACAGTTACCAGAGATAGTGGGTGGGTGGGTGAGGGATGGTTATGGGTACAAAAAATAGAAAGAATGAACAAGATTTAAGTATTTGATAGTGCAACAGGGTGACTATAGTCAATAATTATGTAACTGTACATTTAAAAATAACCAAAAGGGTACATTTGGATTGTAACAAAAAGGATAAACGCTTGAGGTGATGAATATCTCATTTCCTGGATGTAATTTTTAGACATTGTATGCCTGTATCAAAATATCCCATGTACCCAATAAATATATACACCTACTACATATCCACAAAATTAAACATTTGAAAGAAGTTAAATCTAATAATGTCATTCCTTTGTTCAAAAGTCAACAAATGACTTCACATTTCAGTTTAATAATTTAAAGTCCTTACAGTTTACCCACAAGTCCCTATATGACCTAGTTCCCTATTAACCTCTCTGATCTCATCTCATTGTCCTCTTGTTCACTCTACTCTAGTCGCACTGGACTTCTTGCTGTTCCTCAGCCATGTTCTTACCTCAGGGCCTTTATCTTCACTGCTCCTTCTACATATAACATTCTTCTCTTAGATCATTCCCTTACTCCTTTAGGTCTCCAAATGTTCAGAAAGCATTTCCTCACTGATATTTTTGATATCAGTATGTAAAACTCCAGCCATCTCCTCCCACCAAAGATGCTCCCTGCTCCACTGTTTTTCATCATAGCACCTAATCATTACCTTATACTTGCTTATTCTATTTACTTAATACCTATCTTCCTCCCACTAGAATGTAGGGCCCATGAGAATAGAGCTTTTTGTCTGATTGGGACTCTGCTCTAACTTCAGCACCTAGCACCCAGAACAATGCTTGGCATGCAACTGGTATCCACTATATATTATAATAAATGAATGATCAAATAAATGACTAAACAGTGACATAAATGTTAATATAGGGATGACAAATAGATTTTATATTAAATGCCAATTGAAATAACTGAGAATAGATGCATGGATGAATGTGTACAGGATTCTGAGACCATGTTAGCTTGGTGAGAAATTGTACTATGACCAATTATCAATGTGGCAGTCAGATAGTCAACACTTGAGCATTTCTCTGAAACTATGTAAAATGACATTGGCAAAAATACAAGATAAACTAGTTCACAGTACACAAAAGTATAATTATGTCCTACAAGGTTCTTCATATAGACTTTATTAGCAAAGACTAGTAAACAGAAAATGACAGGCTAAGCAAGACTAATGAAAAACTATGCTTAAATGTAATTAGGGAATTAAAATAGACAAAAATACTTCAGGGAATGTGACAGGCTGTATTTCACCCTTCTTGACAGTAGGCTACTTGGCCTTTATGCTAAAAATTCTCAATAAACTAGGTATCAATGGAACATATCTCAAAATAATAACAGCTATTTATGACAAACTAATAGCATACTGAATGGGCAAAAACTGAAAGCACTGCCTTTGAAAATTGGTATAAGACAAGGATGCCCTCTCTCACCACTCCATTTCAACATAGTATTGGAAGTTCTGGCCAGGGCAATCAGGCAAGGAAATGAAATAAAGCATATTCAATTAGGAAAAGAAAAAGTGAAATTGTCTCTATTTGCAGATGACATAATTGTATATTTACAAGACCACATTGTCTCAGCCCAAAATCTCCTTCAGCTGATAAGCAACTTCAGCAGTCTTAGGATACAAAATCAATGTGCAGAAATCACAAGCATTCCTATACACCAATAACAGACTTAGAAAGAGCCAAATCAAGAACGAACTGCCATTCATAATTGCTACAAAGAGAATATAATAACTAGGAATACAACTAAAAAGGGATGTGAAGGACCTCTTCAAGGAGAACTACAAACTACTGCTCGAGGAAATAAGAGAGGACACAAACAAATGGAAGAAACATTCCATACTCACGGTTAGGAAGAATCAATGTTGTGAAAATGGTCATACTGCCCAAAGTAATGTACAGATTCAACGCTATCCCCATCAAGCTACCATTGACTTTCTTCACAAAATTGGAGAAAACCACCTTAAAATCCATATGGAACCAAAAAAGAGCCCACATAGCCAAGACAATCCTAAGATAAAAAAAGAAAAAACAAAGCTGGAAGTATCATGCTACCTGACTTTAAACTATACTATAAGGCTACTGCAATCAAAACAGCATGGTACTGGTACCAAAACAGAGATATAGACCAATAAACAGAACAGAGGCCTCAGAAACAAAGCTATACATCTACAACTATCTGATCTTTGATAAACCTGACCAAAAAAAAGCAGCGGGGAAAGGATTCCCTATTTAATAAATAGTGTTGGGAAAACTGGCTAGTCATATGCAGAAAGCTGAAACTGGATCCCCTCCTTACACCTTATACAAAAATTAACTCAAGATGGATTAAAGATTTAAACATAAGACCAAACACCATAAAAACCCTAGAAGAAAACTTAGGCAACACCATTCAGGGCATAGGCATGGGCAAGGACTTAATGACTAAAACACCAAAAGCAATGGTAGCAAAAGCCAAAATAGACAAATGGGATCTAATTAAACTCCAGAGCTTTTGCACAGCAAAAGAAACTATCCTTAGCATGAACTGGCAACCAACAGAATGGGAAAAAATTTTTGCAATCTACCCATCTGATAAAAGGCTAATATCCAGAATCTACAAAGAACTTAAATTTACAAGAAAAAGAAAAAAAAAAAAAACAACCCCATCAAAAAGTGGGCAAAGGACATGAATAGACACTTTTCAAAAGAAGACATTTATGCAGCCAAGAAACATACGAAAGGAAGCTCATCATCATTGGTCATTAGAGAAAGATACCATCTCACACCAGCTAGAATGGTGATCATTAAAAAGTCAGGAAACGAGATGCCGGAGAGCGTGTGGAACAATTTTACACTGTTGGTGGGAGTGTAAGTTAGTTTAAGCATTGTGGAAGACAGAGTGGCAATTCACCAAGGATCTAGAACCAGAAATACCATTTGACCCAGCAATCTCATTACTGGGTATATAACCAAAGGATTATAAATCATTCTATTATAAAGACACATTACACATGTATTTATTGCAACACTGTTCATAATAGCAAAGACTCGGAACCAACCCAAATGCCCATCAAAGATAGACTGGATAAAGAAAATGTGGCACATATACACCATGGAATACTATGCAGCCATAAAAAAGGATGAGTTCATGTCCTTTGCAGGAAGGAATGGATAAAGCTGGAAACCATTATTCTTAGCAAACTGATACAAGAACAGAAAACCAAACACCACATGGTCTCACTCATAAGTAAGAGTTGAACAATGAGAACACATGGATATGGGGGCGAGGGGGAACATCACACACCAGGGCCTGTCAGGGGGTAGGGGATAGGGGAAGGATAGCAGGAGGTGGGAGGACTGGGAAGGGTTAGCATTAGGAGAAATACCTAACATAGATGACAAGGTGATAGATAGAGCAAACCATCAGGGCATGTGTATACCTATGTAACAAAACTGCACATTCTGCACATGTACCCCAGAACCTTAAGTATAACTAATTAATTTAAAAAGAAAAAAAAAGAAAGTAGGGTACTTGGGAACAATTTAAAACATCCTTGTTACATGTTCTACTGTAATACACATCTTGTTTTTAACACCCAAAAAACTTACCTGTATCATTGTTTTTAAAGTTTAAAAGGTACTAATTGTATGATTATAAATCATTCTATTATAAAGACACATGCACATACAATCCTTTCACCATTACAGAATACGATATTTTTCAGAATTATGAATATATGGCACTTACATTCCGTTTCATGCTTGTAGGCTCCTAATGTTAGCTGACGTGATGTTGTCAATAATTGTTGCATCATTGCTGTTGGGTCTTGAAATATCTAATGGGACAGAATGAACAAAAACCCAGTAACTTCAAAGTTCTCCACTTCAAATAGTTTTAAAACTATCATTATAAAATCTTCTTACCATTTCATCATAGAACTCTGAAACCACTGTCTTTTTCCCCAGCATTGCATTGGTGTCCGACTGAAACAGCTTTAGCAAATGATAAAGGGTTACCTGCGAAATAAAAAGAGATGTCACATCTGTGCAATGGTTTTTATCATCACAAGACACTGTCTTTTAACTAAATTAGAGACTGGAATAAATGTATACATGTCAAACTCATGATCTTGTTTCAATTGCAACTTATTACAACAAATCACTCAAACTTTCTGTACCTTTATTTTCCTATTAGATACATTCGTATCTACTTAACATGAATATTCTGAAGAGTGTAATTAAAAATCTGTTCAAGAATCTCTAGGGAAGAAACTATAAAAGTAGCACAAGATAAAACTATGGAAATTAAGCTGATAAATCACTGAAACATGAATTCTTTTACTTACATAAGTCGGTTAATTGTGACAACTGCTTTTGAAGATTGGAGTTTACAAATTTACCGTGGGGAATAAAAGATTTGATACTTTTAAAAGGAATGAAAAAGTTCAGTGAGGGAAAGATAATTTCTTTGGGGATCCATAAGATTATTACGTAAATGACATAATAAATAAATTAAAAGTCAGTGACAATTCACTTTGAGAAGAGCAACATGTCTTCAAATACTTAAAAACAGGTACAGTAAGACATCAAGGGAAAAGCTTCAAAGCACAATGTGTGATTATTTTAGCAAAACAAAATCTAGTTGGGAAAACATCAGAGTTCTTGTTGAAGTTGTGAAAACCTCAAATAATTTTCCAAAAAGTTAGCTAAAATCATTGTGAGAGAATGCTGTTCTTCAAAAAGTCACGAAATAGGGAGCAAGGAAGGGTACACTGAAAAAGTCAGAAAATATAAAATTCCTTGCAACTGAATTTAAACAAGCACCATCCATTCCCCATAAAGACAATCTAGCTCAATTAACAGAATGTCAGATTTCCCTGGACATGGCTCAGCAAGCAGAAGTATCCTACTTAAAGGACATCTTCTATGCCCAAGACGATACACTAAGAATACAGAAAAGCGAGGAAGGAAATACACAGAATTCTACTAAAGTAACAGTAAAGACAGACAATCTACAAAATGAGAGCATGAATTATGTATCAAATTCTTTAAAGCAAATAATTTGACAAATTTCTAGACAGAAAGCAGATAAGTCTACCAAGCAGGATAATAAACAGTAACAGAGAAAAACCACAGCCAGAAAACTTAAGAAAATTGCCTCAGAGGTGGGAGCCAGAGCTCCCAGGAGCTCTACAGTGCTCCAAGCTCAGAGTTGGCAAGTATCAAAGTCAAGAATGCTATAAGGTAGCTGGGCTTTTGGACCTTCCCTTCTCTCTCCACTCTAGACAAGAAAGCCTATCTACCTTTAGTGCCTAGTATTTTTCACCCCAACAATGAAGTATGAAGAAAAAATAAGAACATTTCAGATGGCCAATGGCTCTGAAAGTTTGTTTCTCAGGTATCCTTTCTAAAGAAATTCCTTCAGCAAAATGAAAAAAAGAAACTTGGAAAGAAGAAGAAAAAGGAAGAAAATGTTCTGTAATCATTAGGCCCTGAAAGATACTATCTAAAGTCGAGAAATCCAGTATTAGGGATTTAAATATATGAGATGCATAGGAGTGAGTAATTTCTAGACGAACTCAAAACAGGTAACTGTTAAAAAGTGGTTTTCTTGGAAAAGGGGTCAAAAATGGGAGAAAGAAGATGGTATGGGCTGAATTGTGACCTCCCTGCAAAAACTCTGTTTTGTTTTGAGATGGGAGTCTCATTATGTTGCCCAGGCTGGTCTTGAACTCCCAAGCTCAAATGATCCTCCTGCTTCAACCTCCCAAATAACTGGGACTACAAATGCACACAAAAGATATGAAGTCCTAATTCTTAGTTCCTGTGGATGTGACATTATTTGGAAACAGGGTCTTTGCAGGTATAATTAAGATAAAGTCATTTAGGGTGGAGCATAATCCAATATGAATGGTGGCCTTATAAAAGAAGAAGACACAGAGACCAGGGAGAAAGATAAGGCCATGTGACAATGAAGGAAGATATCAGAATTATATTGCCAATAGCCAAGGAACATCTGGGGCTGGAAGAGGCAAGGAAAGATGCTCCCCTAAAGGGCAACACCTTGATTTCAGACTTCTAGCCTTCAGATATGTGGGAATAAATTTCTGTTGTTTTAATCCACCCAGTTTGTGGTACGAGAAAACTAATACAGAAGAATTGCACTTATTTCAAAAATCTTCTTTCAAAACCAGGTGCACACCTGACTTTTATAATTAAAAATTCTTACAATTACATCATAAAACTGTCCTTCCCTAAATTTATTATTTGGACTTTCAGAGGCATTCATGCCGATATAGGCAATAAAAACATTTCAAGACAGATGTCCCTGATTTTGAGTGGTATTTGAAAATTCTTAGAACAATGAAACTGCCTATACTTGCCTAGAAATCCCTATTTCTAGGAATGAAAACTCAATTTGGCATTTTGCTTTTAGAAACAACAATTCTTTTTATAGTGGCTTGATCTGTATAATATGTTACTGCGTAACAGAAGTAAATCACAATTTACCTTCCAACCAAGTTGTCTTTCTTATATATTTTAAATAAACCTTCATTTGACATTTTCTATAAGAGCCAACTATTGAAAAAATACAATAGTCTAATTATACTAAAAAACACTATAATACTTCTTAAGAAATAAAATTCAGGTCTATGTAGATCTATATGGGAACCTATTCAATACATTAATCACTACAGCAGTGCCGTAGGTTATATTATTTTACCTTCTAAGATTGACTTCGAGAGCTGTCTCATAATGAGGTTACAGGATATATTGATTTCTTTCATAGATTTATTTTCCAACTGGGGATGGGGATAACAGATGAGGAGACAGGGAGGTAAGGCAGCATATTCTCAAAAATGAAAACGGAGCAATCTTACAAAGTTAAAAAGAGCTTCTGCTCTAGTACCATCATGGGCTGCTTCTCTCTCCCTGTCAACATCTGCTAAATTCTATAGTTTATTTTCCCTAATAAACTATTCTCATTAAGGTCAGTGTCTCATCTTAGTATCCTTCTCAATCCCTTAAACAGTATCTTGCAAATAGCAGACATTATATTTAATAATTTCTTGGCCGTTCATGGTGGCTCACGCTGTAATCCTAGCATGTTGGGATGGCAAGGTGAGAGGACTGCTTGTGTCCAGAAATTTGAGATCAGCCTGAGCAACATGGCAAGCCCCCATCTCTACAGAAAATAAAAAATTAGCTGAGCGTGGTGGCAGGCACCTGTGATCCCATCTACTAAGGAGTCTGAGGCAGAAGGATTGTTTGAGCCCAGGAGATGGGCGCTGCAGTGAGTCATGTTTATGCTATTGCACACCAGCCTGGGCAACAGAGTGTAACTCTGTCTCAAAAGAAAAAAACATTGCCAAACAAAATATAACATTAGTGTGTTTTCCTGAAGGGCAACATGGATGGTAGGAAATCTAAAAACTTCTTCATATGAAAATATGAACAACTTTTAAAGGGGCTATGGATGTTTACTCATGAGAAAAGAAAACTAATGTATGAATAGTAATCAGTAAAAAGTTCAGGAAGCGTAACATGAAGTACACCTTTCTTAAAACTAAAATTACCCCAATCTTGAATAGGGGTGTTTTACTTAGTGGCATAATTCTCCATATTGGAGATATGCAAGCCCAAATGAGATACTCATTTGAGAGATTGCCTTAAATAAATTCCTACATAGGAAGAGAAGAGTCAGCCTAAGTCAATGGGTCCCAAATCTCACCGTGCATCAAAATAAGCTCGGGTACTGGCCCCATTCCAAACCCACTGAATCAGACTCTCCAAAAGGTGAGACCTGGGAGTTTGAATTTTTAAAAAGCACCTCACCAAAAATAAATAAATAAGCAAGCACCTCAGGTGTTTCTGATGCAGCCAGTTAGGAATTAGTTTGCTGAAATGCTGGCCCAGGTGATATTTAGCTCCTTTAATAAAAATACCTACACAGTTTAAAAAACATAATCTGATAATTAAAATGTAAATGTTTGGTGATAAAAGAATGATGTGATTCTAACGAGATAAAATTAATGGTGTTGAATGTTAAAGCCTTGAAATTGGAGTTAAACCCCAGCCATATATGTGGAATGTGAGAGCCATTACCAAGTTTCGACCCTATAGTTTAAAAAAAAAAAAAAAAAAAAAAAAAGGCTTAGTGGTTTTACCCAAAAGAAAAAATACTAGAAAAAGGTATGAATGCAAATATCTGGGTTCAAAAACTAGCTCTACCATAATTAACTGAATGTTTCTGAGCAGTGATTTGACCTCTAAGCCTTGGTATCCTGATCTCTAAAATGAGGATATTACAACCTAACAAAGTTGCTAAGGATGAAAGCAAAAGCCTGAAAAGTCTGAAGGGACTTTTTACATTATCAAGCAACAATCTGGTAAGAAGAGATCAAAAGATGAAAAAGCCAGTGGTTATAAAAAATAAAGACTCATAAATAAGATATAATATAAAGCACTAGTACCGATGACAGCTTAAAAAAGCAAAAAACTATTTCTTGGTGTTTAGCAAAAACTATAAAAACCATTTTACACGGCATATGGGCTCAATTTGTTTATTACTAACAACCAAATGAAAGTAACAGTTTTAATTTTTTTTTTTTGCTGCAGTGATTATCTGATTTCCCTGGTTTCTTTCCAATATATGTTCAGGTTATTTCTTCCCATACTTGGGGAAAAAAAAAAGGATTTTGAAAAGTACTTCACTTAAAAATGAAAAGCTTAACTCATGTCAAGATACACTGTGCCATAATTTACATAAAACACATGTGAATGAACACTATTCAATAAGTATTACTACATTTTCACATTTACTAAGAAATCTATTTTATATTTACAAAGATTAATACTACTTACGGGTCTTTCATTGGGATCAATGAAAAATATTTTGATGATTATTTCGAATTCACCCCATCCTGTTTCAGTAATTTCATATGGAGGCTTAGTAACAACTAAAGAGAGAAAACAATAGTAAATTATCAGTTTAGTTTCCTAGCTGTTTTTAACTTTGGATATTGTGTATCAAAAGACTATATTGTACCTCTTAAAGGATTGCCATAGCTTTCATGTAATTTAAACTGGATTTTCTTCACATATGCTGACATATCCTAAAATATAAGGAATTAATTAGTTTTATGACCTACATATGAAAACTAGGAAAAAAAATACACTAAACATACGTACCTAATTTTAAAAAAACATACTTCCCCTCAAATTTTATAGAACCTAATTTTCTAAAAAACATGAATTATACCTGAGAAGTTATTTTGCTCTTTTTGAAAAACAAAAACAAAGGAAGACTGTGTTGAATTCTTTCATAATGTGTAACATATAAAAATACATGTCCCTGATTCACTTTTTTTTTTTTTTTTGCAAATCTTGTTTTTATATACCTCTACAGATAATACTCTAAATCAATTTTGATTTTTTTCCATTAAAACAACAGTACATATCTGGGACTGTTACAGAAATAATCATATAAACCAAGGCAAATCTATAGTCAATTTCAAAGAATAAAATTACATTACATAGGCCAGGCATGGTGGCTCATGCTTGTAATTCCAGCAGTTTGGGAGGCCAAGGAGGATGAGGTCAGGAGTTTGAGACCAGCCTGGCCAACATGGTGAAACCCCATCTCTACTAAAAATACAAAAAATTAGCCAGGCAGGGTGGTGCGCACCTGTAATCCCAGCTACTTGGGAGGTTGAGGCAGGAGAATCGCTTGAACCTAGGAGGCAGAAGTTGCAGTAAGCCGAGATCAGGCTACTGCACTCCAGCCTGGGCAACAAGAGAGAAAGTCCGTCTCAAAAAAAAAAAAAAATTATATTACATAAAGCTAAGGACAACTAATTTAAAGCAATATAAGACTGTTGAATACAAAAACTCTTCTTTTTCTTGATTTCATTTTGAAGTACAGAGAATATTCATTACTTATGGCACATAAAAGGGCTTCTGTTGGCAAAAGTGGCCTTTAAAAATATAACTCATTATAGAAGAATAAAAAATGCAAAACAATAACTCATGTTCAATAGTAATGCTTATTAACTTTTTAATTTACTTTTAGAAATTTCTAAATGTGCTTTTATCTACATTGATATCTAACTTTATTATTTAAAAAATAAACTGAAATCTTACTGTAATGATATCTTCTTTTATTCTTTCTTTAGCAATGGAGTCTCACTATGTTGCCTGTCTGGTCTCACTCTCCTGGGCTCAAGTAATCCTCCCACTTGGGCCTCCCAAAGTGCTGGGATTACAGGAATGAGCCACTTCGCCTAGCCAATGGTTTTTAGTTATATTTACAGAGTCTCATAACTACAATTGTAGAATATTTTTATCACATAAAAGAAAGCCATATCCGTTAGCACTTACTCCAATACCATTCCTTGCCACCTACTGGCAACCACTTATTTATTTTCTTTGTCTATGGATTTGCCCCTTCTGGACATTTCATATAAATAAAAGTATATAATATGTGGCCTTTTTAATATCTCCTTCTTTGACTTAGCATAACACTTTCAAGTTCCATCACGTAGTAGCATGTATCAGTACTTTACTTTTTATTGCCTGATAATATTCAATTGTATGGATATACCACATTTTATTTATCCATTCATTAGCTGATAGACACGTGGGTTGTTTCCTCCTTTTGGCTATTATGAATAATGCTGGTATCAACGTTCATATGCAAGTTTTTGGGTGGACTTTGAAGGGTTTTAAATAGAGGAATAATTTACTCACTCAATAAATATCTGTTAAAGAAGATTCAGCAATGAAACAAAATTACCAGCAATCAGATGACACAGCAGAGCTATCTTTCACATTCTTTGATGGTCTTACTGCCACATTATCACTTTAAGGATTAGCTGCTTATTCCTGAAACTCCTAATTAAATACTATATTAATTTGAGATATGATGTTAGGAAGGTGTACTTGTACTGTATTTATACCATAATAGTTCTTGTTACCTTAATTTTAATTAAAAAACACTTTTGGAAAATTGGTTTCTACTATTTTATGAAGATGACAGTTCTCTATTTTTTTCAAAAACTTTTTGACAACATTCCTACAATGGGCCAATTTTATAATCAGAAAGTTACTATTAAAAATTACAGGTTATCTTTAGGCAAAACAAATTACGGACAACTTTAAGCAAAACGGTTACAGAAAAAAACGAGTGCCTACCTCATTTCTATATGGTTTTACATATACTGTCCACTGATGAGTGTGCCCATCTTCTTCTCTTTTCTTTCCAAAATACCGAGCAACATTACCATAAACTATTGGTTTAACAATAGTAACCCCCTAAAAGAAAAATAATTTTAAAATCAATTAATATTGTACCATTACCTAAATAAGCAGAATAAGAGCTCTGAAAACCTGTTTCAAAGAATAACAATCTATAGTTTGCTCACAGGATTTCTCTCAAATCAGACACTTATCCTCATTTCATATTAATACAAAAAAACAACAGAATTACAATGTTCCCTCTGTGAAAATGTTTTTATTTAAGTTACCAAGTAAAGCACTTTGAGAGTTTTGTTAAAAGAAATGCAAAAGGCCTTTTACTTAAACACCGAAAGCTAGGCATTAAAATAAAATTTGCCAATTCTGACTGGCATCACCTGTGGTAATGCCTTTATCACCCAGTCTGTGGCAGTGTTTCTCAAAGTATAGCATAAATATTAACAGCAATTTGTGAGAGGTAGAATAAAGGTCAAACATTTTTCACTTTTTAACTTATGTGTTTAATCAGTATTTAAAAAAAGAAAACTGTAACTAGAAATTAAAACCTACAATTTCACTGAGGCAGGTGGATCACCTGAGGTCAGGGGTTTGAGACCAGCCTAGCCAACATGGCAAAACCCCATCTTTTCTAAAAATACAAAAATTAGCCAGGTGTGGTGGCAGGCATCTGGAATCCCAGCTACTTGGGAGGGTGAGGCAGGAATTGCTTGAACCTGGGAGGCAGAGACTGCAGTGAGCCAAGATCATGCCACTGCACTCCAGCCTTGGGCAACAAAGTGAGACCGTCTCAACAATTACAACAACCCTATAATTTCAAAAACATGAACACTTAGAGGCTTTTAAAAATTAAATTGATTTAAATGTAAATGTTAAAATAAATATTACAGTTGGATTCAGACATAGCAAAAATGGCCAAGTGGCACTTGGATGACAGAAGCTTGGTAAACACTGGCTGACGACATGTTTGCTACATTTGTTCTTAGTTTAACATACATATTTCTTATATCTGGTAAGTGCAAAGGCAGTGAGTATTGACAGATTATGATGGAAAAGAAAAAAAGTTTCAATTGAAGTGAAAATACTGAATGTTGCACATGAATCTGAAACCAATGGCTCAATTGCAGAAATGTATCTGAAGGACAAAGAGCAAGATTTACCACATGTGAAAAGTGCTGGGCAAATGTAATTAACAAGAAGAAATGGAGAAAAGCAGCCAGGGGCAGTGGCTCATGCCTGTAATCCCAGCACTTCTGGAGGCTGAGGCGGGTGAATCACCTGAGGTCAGGCATTCGAGACCCGCCTGGCCAACATGACGAAACTCCGCCTCTACTAAAAAAATACCAAGACATTAGCTGGGCATGGTGGTACACACCTGTAGTCTCAGCTATTTGGTGGGCTGAGGCAGAAGAATCGCTTGAACCCGGGAAGTACAGGTTGCAATAGGCCGAGATTGCACCACTGCATTCCAGCTTGGAAGACAGAGACTCTGTCTCAAAAAAAAAAGAGAAAAAGAAAAAAATGAAGAAAACCAGTGAACGAAAATGGAAAAACTTCGTGGCTGATTAACTACTCCAACATCCAACACCTATAAATCTAAAGTTAGTTCAGAAGAAGGCAAGCAGTTTGTATGAGAACTTAAAATCACAGTGCTACTGATGACACTTTTGTGGGAACCACAGATTGGGCTTCAAGTTGAAGGCCTGATCGAATGAGTACAAGGGCGCTGACACTGGGAGGGTATAATAGAGCCCATAGCTGCTAAGGTGCTGCTACGAACTTGCAGAGGTCATCAACGATGAAAAGGGAAATCACTTGTCAAGATTTCTACCTAGATGAAACTAAGCTAAATTGGAAAAAGATGGCTGAAAGAACGAATTAACAATCAGCAAAGAGAAATAAATCCCCAATTTCTCGCTGGCAGTGTGCCTCCCGTCTGAAGCCCTAGCTACTCGGGAGGCTGACGCGAGAGGATCGCTTGAGCCCAGGAGTTTGTGGCTGCAATGAAGTATGACCAGGCAAAGGACTCCAGCCTGGGTAACAGAGACCCTGCCTGTAGTCAAATGTAATAATAATTATGTAAAAATATGACACAGATAAGGATTTTAAAAACCTACAGATTAACTATTTTGGTACAAAAGTGGGTGATTCTTCCAGCAGCGTGTTAGAAGGGAATAAAAAAAAAAAAAAAGAAAAGAAAAAAGTGGGTGATTCTTTTTAAAGAAAATATCCTTTCCTCTATAAATAAAAATCGGGGGTACAATAGTTGTTTTATCAGGAGCCAGTGGGTCCTGCCTTAAAAATTAACATGCCAGAGGATGTGGGAAAGTGTGAGAAAAATAAATGTCACAATGTCAAAACATTACGATAGGCTCTATGAAAATTTCATCAAAAACAGAAGTTGACATTTACTGAATGTTCCCTATGTGCCACGCACACTGTTAGGCTCTTGCTTTGGGGCTTTGTGAGCAATGTGAATTCCGGCAAATTTTCTTAGCTTTCCTCCACCTTGGTGCCTCAGTTATCGCTTGGAAATACTGCAGGTAAGCGCTCAGCGACTATTTGCTACAGTTAGTTGAGACAGAGTCTATTGATTGATTGATTGATTGGAGACAGAGTCTCCCTCTGTCGCCCAGGCCGGAGTGCAGTGGCCCTATATCAGCTCACTGCAACCTCCGACTCCCAGGTTCAAGCGATTCTTCTGCCTCAGTCTTCCGAGTAGCTGGGAACACAAACGCGCGTCACCAAGCCTGGCTAATTTTTGTATTTTTAGTAGAGATGGGGGTGTCACCATATTGGCCAGGCTGGTCTTGAACTCCTGACCTCGTGATCAGCCCGCCTCGGCCTCCCAAAATGCTGGGATTACAGGCGTGAGCCACCGCGCCCTGCCTGCTACAGATACTGTTATCTTTACACCAGGTGTGTGTTGTCACCGCTTTACCAATAACCTAGGTTTGTAGCGAATGTGCACCAAGCCGAGCTTTCCCAGCCCTCGGAGTGGCCCGTTTCCTCAGCAGCCATGCCTAGGTTTCCCCAAGCCACCACGGATCTGTTTGTGTTTTGGCGGGGATGGGAGTTGGCAATGACGCGAGGAAGTTGGGGCCCAATGAACGCCGGCTTTGACTCGTTCTCCGCCTTGAAACCATGGTTCAAATCGCAGGAGAGAAGGCGCGAAAAGAAACCCAGAGGGCCCTCCCCGCACCGCGCAGGGAGGAACGGGGCGGAAGAACCACCCCGGAAGGGGCAGGGGTCGGACACTGACCTTTACTCTCCCGCCGGAGTCAGGCCCAAATTCGGCCATTCTCTTGAACATATTGTCCCACGGAAGAAGCCGCCGCCGCCGCCTGGGAAAGAGACCGGGGCTGGCGGGGTCGCCACTCCCCTCAGAGGCTGCGCTCCTCTCACGCGGGCCCAGGCGGAGAGTTTCTCGCCGAGGGAGGAGGAGTTAGTAGGGCTCGTGGCGCTGAGTAACCGTCAACTGCCCTGGCTGACAGCTTTCCTGAAGGCCTTTCAACCCCGCGCAGGTGGAGAGCGCAACGGAAGGAGGGGCGACGGCAGCGCCGTGCGCAGGCGCAACGGGCTCGCGTGTGCACACGCAGTGCACACTGCGCACGCGCGTGGCTGGTGCAGTCACATCACAAAACCAGCCCAGAAGTTTCAAACCAGAAAAATTGGAAGGAAGGAAATAATCAATAAATGACATAAGAAAGTTGTCCAGATGTTAAGGATATGAATTCACCCTGGAAGATCCTACCAAGCACCCAGCACAAATATTAAATCATCCACCTCAAGACATATCATTGTGAATTTTCCGCACGTCGAGGATAAAGAGATCCACACCCTTCCGTGTTATAAAGACTGGAATCCAGAGTGGCTGCAGATTGCTCGATAGAATCATTAGAATCTAGGAAGCCATACGGTACTGTCTTCAAAACTCTGAGGGAAAGTTACTTCCAGTTTAGTCTTCAGTATTCGTATAACTACCAATCGAGTGTGTGACTAGAATAGTTTCAGACGTGTTAAATCACTACACACACAAAATAGTACCTGTCTTACTTTTCCCAGTACCTCCAGGAAGATCCTCTAGATCTGATCCACCAAAATGAGAGAATAATCAAGAAGGAGGAAATTATGAAATACAGGAAATATAATTATGAAACACAAAATAATAAAATCCCAGGATGATGCTGAAAGAGCCCCGGGACAAAAGCTGTGTACAGACATAGACTGCAACGCAACCAGTTTGGAGTCGGTCAGAAATCTTTGGGAGACACTGCTTTAGAGGGATGGAATTGATAAAATTCTAGCTGGCATTGAAGCCTCGAGAGGAGATTTGACCTAGGGTTTGGGAGTGTAACTCATGACAGGCAAACAGAAAACTAAGCAGCTGTAAGAATTATGCAGCTATTAATTATAGGGAAAACAAAATGTTATGCAAAAAAAGAAAGTAATTTTATTTATGGTTACATAAATACTGAGTATTGATCACTCCCCCCCGCCCCCCAAAAATAGAATTTACATTTGGAAGGATGGGCTTTGGAGAAGGGTACCGTGATGGGGATGAAGGAGGAGGAAGTAGCGTTTAATCTTTAACTTCCATAGTGGAAAGTCAGTATCTTAAAATGGAAAAATCAAGAAGAAGCAATATAAGTCTAATATTTTTAAGCATGGAGGTAAGTATAAAAAAATAATATTAAGCTAAAAGAGTAGAAAATACTCCTGATTGTAATTTTTAGTAATTCCATTTAGCAACTTGAAGAAAATATATTTTTAAATGACTTCACTAAATAGAAGTGCAAGCAATGTGCTCAGGGCTTAGTTATAATTAGTGCCACATGAAGAGCTCAGTTGTCATATGGATGTCACTCTGCATTTCAACCAACATAGGAACTGAGTTTCTTTTGAAAATGATCAAACGTTGATACTGATTTTTATTCTGTTACCAGAACAAGAGTAGAAATTTGGTTCGGGGGCATAATGATATTAAAAACAGTTGTTATGATTTAGAAATATTTATCAAAAACTAAAACAAAATCTCCAACAAACATTGCTTTCCCTCTTCAGTCTACTTGGTCTAATCTCTGGCAGTGTCCTCAATCAGCCTGTGTTGTTGGGTTATCCTGGCACTCCTTGGACATCTCTGCTTCTCAGCTGTCACTCTTCAAGTCTCTCTCCCTTACCTTGACTCATCCTTTGTACACCTCAGGGTATCCCGACATGCATAAACTCAGATTCTTTCTGAGTTTATTCATATCAGAGTGGTCCAAAGAATTTTGAAGCCTAAGGTTGCACCTATGTAATGGCCCTCTGCTGCCCTCCCATGGCTGGTCTACGTGCTGCATTTACACAGCCAAGAAGTGGCTTGGAATCCGCAAGCTGTTGTACTGGAATCGTGTGGCCTTGAAGAGGGAAAAAAAAAAAAAAAAAAACTTAGAATGTTCAGCTTGGAAGGAACATACTAAATAATCAGCAAGAGATTAATCTGATCAACTGATATTTATTGAGCATGTACCATGTTCCAGTCACTCTTCTAGGTGTTTAGAATACAGAAGTGGAATGAGTGAAAAATTTCTGTTCTTCCTATGAGGACAGTGGTTCAGCATATTACGCCAGCGATGTAACATGGTTAAGAGGGTGTCCAGGTGGGGGACAACCCACTGAGGGATGTCAGAGCCTGAGTGGAGGGCACTCAATGTTGGGCAGAGTTGGGAAATTGGTTACATACAGGCAAACCCATCAAATTCATAAATGCACTAAGGATACATTTTAAGGATATTGAGTATAATGAATGCTAAATTTCTTACTGTCAGAGAAGAGAGTTAAAACACGGAAAAGAAGAAAACCAGAGTGAATCTTGTGGTGTGAGGTTACAGTTGGAGGTATTGGTGTGAATTCATGATTTTCAATATAAACAGATAGATATAGAGACAAATATAGTGTAAATGCGTATATCTTTCCAGTTCTGTTCACTGATAGGGCCTGGGAACAGTGATACCCTAGTGCCCAGGTCTTGTTTTTTAATACTGTTATGCACTTTGAGGAATCAGGGCTCCTTGGAGAAATGCCTATTCCATTTCTGGAAGCAAGGAAGGAACAAGGTGAGCCTTAGAATATCTCATGCCAGAAAACAAGAAAGTGCTTGAAGAATGATGGAAATATGTGGAAATGACGCGGAAGCCAACTTGCAGGGACTCGTTGGCCAAATGGAGGACAGCTGTGAACATCAAAATAAAAAATAGTAGTGGATTATAACTCATTATGATTTGAATAAAATAGAAGCCATGGGTCCATACTGATATAATAAAAAAAATGCATGACCAGGCACGGTGGCTCATGCCTGTAATCCTAGCACTTGGGAGACCAACGTGGGCAGATTGCTTCAGGTCAGGAGTTCAAGACCAGCCTGGGCAACATGGCAAAATCCCATCTCTACTAAAAATACAAAAATTAGCCAAGCATGATGGCATGCGTCTGTAGTCCCAAATACTCAGGAGGCTGAGGCGGGAGGATCACTTGAGCCCAGGAGGCAGAGGTTGCAGTCAGCTGAGATCACACCACTGCACTCTAGCCTGGGTGACAGAGTGAGATCCTATTTCTAAATAAATAAACAAACTGAAAATTTGATGAGCACTAGTCTCAAAGCACCTCCTCCTCGAATACTTTACAGTGAAGATGGCTTGCAGACATCTCCTTAATCAAGTGATTCAAGTGAATATCACCAACAATGGGGCAAATCAAAACTGCATGCCACCTGAAACGATGCAATGAGAAGAACATCACTTCTGTGGTATTCCCACCAAAGATGCATAACCTAATGGAATCAAGAGAACACTAGAAAAACCTGAGGACCATTCTATAATATAACTGGTCTTTGGTCTTCAAAAGTGTCAAGGTCATAAAAATCCAGAAAAAAAACAACTGAGGAAACAATTCAGATTGAAAGAGACTTAAAAAACATGACAACCAAATACAACACGATTCTGAATTAGATGCTTTTGTTACAAAGGACTTATTGGGACAATTGATGAAATTGGGTAGAATCTGAAGATTAGATGATAGTAACATATCAGTGTTAATTTACTAATTTGGATAATTGTTTTGAGGTTATGTAGAAGAATGTCTTTGTAGGAATTACACACTGATATAGTCAGGGCCATTAGGTATCATGTTGGCAATTTACTCTCAAACAGTTCAGAAAAATAGAAGACCTTCGTACAGTACTTTTAAATTTTTAGAAAGATTGAGATTATTTCAATGCTTTTTAAAAAGTGGGAAAACCTCTGTCATTTCGGAAGTTATGTTTTGATGAGAAGAGACAAACAAGTAAAATATGTAGTATATAGAATCATTATAGGCTGAGCCCTGAGGCACTCCCACATTTAGAAATTAAATAGCAGAGAAAGAGCGAGCAAAAAGGACACAGAAACAACAGTCAGTGAGGTAGGACATAAATGAGGAAAAGCCAAGGGAAAAAAAATTGCTGAAAGTATGAAGTGGCTCACTTTGTCAAATGCTGCTGAGATGAACATGATGATCACTGGAATTAGCACTGAGGAGTCATGGGAGAAATCCTGGAGGAGCAGTTTCAGCTGAGTGAGGATGGAAGCCAGATTAGAGAGAAAAGACAATGGGAGGTCAGATCATGGAGTTGGTGAGTACAGACATCCTTCCCCAGAAGTCTTGCTGTAAAGGGAGCAAAGAATGGGGTTGCAGTCGGAGGATTATGTAGGGTCAGTGGAATATTTGTTGTAAGATGGGAGGTTACTAGGACAGACTGTAGAATGGTGGAGGTGATCCAGCAAAGAGGAACAAATGAGGCTTCCAGGAAACAGCCTAACTCAGAGTAGTGACAGGGACAGGAGGGAAACTGCATGTGGAGTCAGTGCTGTTGGCAGGAAGAGAGGCTCTTCATCCTGGTAATAGGAGGGAAGGAAGGAAGGATGGGCTATGGGAAGGTATGACTTTTGTTTTGGTGATGTGGAGGGGAAAACTTTTTATGAAGTTGCTTTTGTTTTATAAGTGTAATATGATGCCAGGTTATCTGCTGAGAGCAGAGAAGGGTGGAGGATGAGGGGGCAGAGGAGGGGGCTGAATGTGTGTGTTTGGGCTTTGAAGAGAGAAGAGGAAAAGTAAAATAGTAACAGTCATTTTGGAGACTGGAGACACAAAAATGGAAGGACTGCAGAGAAATAACTAAAATGGCCAGGCAGACTTGAGGGCTCATTTGAGATTTATGGTTATGAATTTAAAGTGACACCTGTCAGCATGCTTGTGGATTTTTCTCCAGCAATATCCAACTATTTGAGTGAGGATATAAGAGAGATATTAAGAGCACCAAATCATATTTTTTCAAATATATGTCTTTTTTTCTTTAGAGACACTATAGGAATCTAAATAAAAACAGACATGGTATGTGTTGCAAAGCCTTTAATGAGAATGTTTGTATTTTTTACATCATGCATAATTTCACATTTGTGATTAATTAGTAACTATTTCAATACTTGTAAGCTCACCTGCCTCAGATTTAATCATAATACATGAATGAAATTAATCAAATTAAGGGACAGAAATTTAGAAAGGAACACACTTTATGAAAACAAAATTCTCAATTCATGCATTCTGTTTCTAGCATTTGGTATTCCACCTACCCCTTTAAAAATTTCATATTGCCCAACAAAAAGTGGTTATTTTTACTGTTTTTGGAGATGACTGAACAGATGCCTATACAGCTGGTATTTTGCCTAAGATTAATTTAAGATAACCTTTTGTTATATTTTACTTAACACTGAGTATACTTGTATCACTTGAGATTAAGTCTGGGTTATTTCTTGATAAAAACAATGTACTGGAGATGTGTTTGACAACCAAGGTTTTAGATACATTTTCACCAGTATAAGCTCTGCTTGCAAACTGAAAAATGCTGTAGTCTTAATATAAAATAATAACCACATTAGTGAACATTACGTCTCTTAGAAGAAAGGCCATATTTTGCTCCTGCTTCTGTAAGATTATTATTTGTTTGAAGGGGAAATAATGGTAGTGTGACCTTTCACTTAATTACTACTCCCTTAATGTGGGAAAGAGACAAAAATGAGCTGAAGAAGGAAAATTCTGCAGTTATACTCCACAACCTTGAACATACTGACTGACATCTCTGTTTTGACAGTGAGCTTTCCATGCCACCCTGTAGAAAAAGATGAAGCAAATGGTGAAAGGTTAACACATATCTTCACTGTAATATACATATCTTCACTGTAATATACATGCTTCATACACCTTGGGGAAACAAAATATTTTGCCAATAGATAAAATGCCAAGATAGACCCAGCTATTGCTATTTATTAAATGAAGCTGTGTATATGAAGTATTTCACGCCTCCCTAAATCTCCCAGTAGAGTACAGAATGCTGAACATAAAGGGTGAGTAATGTGCATTGTACAGCAGCAACTGCAAAGTAAATTCCACACTTACTTATTCTCTCTCTTTTTTTTTTTTTTTTTTTGGAGACGGAGTCTCACTCTGTTGCCCAGGCTGGAGTGCAATGGCACAATCTCTGTTGTTCCCTTCTCAGGTTCAAGCAATTCTCCCTCTCAGCCTCCCGAGTAGCTGGGATTACAGACACCCGCCACCATACCCAGCTAATTTTTTGTATTTTTAGTAGAGATGGGATTTTGCCATGTTAGCCAGGCTGGTCTCAAACTCAGGTGATTCACCTGCCTTGGCCTCCCAAAGTGCTGGGATTACAGGTGTGAACCACTATGCTCTGCCCACATTTACTTATTCTAAAAAGAATTTCAAGACATGACAAGGAACTGGTAGAGTGTGAAGAATCTTAAAACTCTAGAAGTCCCCTAAAATAAATTGAAAAGTAAAAAAGTAAAATTCTGGATCAGTTAAAGTAGATTGTTTCTTCAAGGATGTAGGTAATATGTTACTTAGCATAAGCCAAAAGCTGCAATTTTCAGGTGTCATTAGCATACTTCAGTCTTTGAAAATCTGCTCCCATTGTATATATCAACAGTAGAGTAAAATAGTTTTCCCTTTTAACACTTAAAACATACCATGCTCTAATGCCTTGTGGATCACGGACAACCCTCTTTGCACAGGCCACAGCTTCAGTGATGTCATCTTGCAGCAAAGCTGAAAGACAGGTGGTAGGAAATGAAAATAACTTTAATAGATACTTCATTTTAATTTTATGTTTAGCCAGCTTTATTCTGTTAGGCTGTGGAAAGAATGCTAAGATATTATTTTCTGTTAGTCCATGCATGTGTGATTGTTGGGGAAAACTTTCCCTTCATTCTCTCTCATTTAGCATGAAATGAAGCATTGTTTTCCTCATTTACCAAAGTCATTGGAAGCTCTGGAAGTATTAACAAAATGATTAAAGATTCTCTTTGTCCTAGACACTGTAAAAAAAAAAAAAAACAACTAGTGATATTTTACTTGGCAGTTCTATTATTGAAAATTTATCCAAAATAAATAAAAAATGCACCCAAAGATGTATGCACAAAGCTCTTCATAGCAATTTATAAGAGGGAAAAATGGAAACAAAGTACTCAATAGAAAGAGTTGGATCAATAAATTATAAATATTCATATACGTATTAGAATTCTAGCCATTCTTTTAAAATAATAATACAGATTTGTATTTTTTTCCTTATCTGGAAAATGGAGCAAAAGATAGTTAAAAATTGATTCATATTTGCTGACATGCAAATAATTTTGTGTGATAAGCAAATTGTAAACCAGTATGTGTAATACAATTTAATTTTTGCAAAAGCACGCATTACTTGCATGTTTATATGTGGGTAAATATGTGTATGATATAACTTAACGTTCATATACATGATTGATATACGTTCTGGAAGAATATATACCAGAATTAGCCCATGGTTATAAACCTCTGGGTAGTAAGATAATAGGTTTTATTTTTCTTCTTTGTATTTTCTAATTTTTATTTAATAACAAAGATTATTATATAATACAAAATGTTTTTAAATTAACTGGATTTTAAAAATAACATAAGATTAATGTTCTTTATTGGGAATTTTAATGTTTAAAAATGTAATAATATCAACTTTGCAAGATTTCTGCAATATTTTTTGCACTGAAGATTCCACGTTATTTCTATTAGTTTAATAAAATATTTGTTTCACCCCAAATAAATAAATCCTTAAGTTAATTTTCATCTACAAAAATGATTCTACAGGAACTGTATTTTTTGAAGATGCAAACTAAAGAATTTAGAAATGGAATGTCATAATGTTCCTAATTCACTTAAAAGTCTCAGCAGTAACCAGATACAATGGCTCATGCCTGTAATCCCAGCACTTAAAGAGGCTGAGATGGGAAGATTGCTTGAGCTCAGGAGTTTAAGACCAGCCTGAGCAACACAGAATTTGCCTCTACAAAAAATTTTAAAAATTAGCCAGGCATCATGGTGTGTCCCTGTAGTCCCAGCTACTTGGGAGGCTGAGATGGGAGGATCACTTGAGGCTGCAGTGAGCTGTGATGGTGCCACTGCACTACAGCCTGGGGCACAGTGAGACCCTGTCTCAAAACAATACAAAACACTCTCAAAAAAAAAAAAAAAAAAGACATAGAAGAAGCAACTACGGGAAAATGTTGACACCTGTTAAAGTGCATAACAGGCATATGGCTGTTTATTATACTAATGTCCCTAATTTTCTGTATATTTAGAACATTTCATAATAAAAAGCAAAACAATTAAAAAAAAGACCACACAACTAAATTATCCCTAAACTTCCCCAAAGTAAGCAGGAGGAATGGCATCATTCTGGACAAAGCATGAGTGAGGCCATTGACAGTGAATTAATAGGTCATTCCAGAAACTTTTGTATATTAAAAAACTCCAGCCTTTTATAATACTAGTTCTTTAATTTCTTAGGGAATTATGAGGAAAATAATAATGACTTTCTGGAAGTTAGGTGGTTTTTCTAAGTCCTTCATGAACCCTTCAAGGCTTTTTCATTTGCATTGAATCTCAATTCTTGTAAGTATAATCAGATTGGTCAAATATAGCTTGTCTTACCATTGCAGGATATATGACAGGCATTAACTGCTCCTGGGGTTCTGCCGTTATTACACCAATAGCGGCTATTGATCTGAAATATCCCATAATCAGTGCTTTGGTCTCCAGGATTGTAGTTTGTAGCACGTGTATTATAATCACTTTCCCATTTGGCCAAACACATCCCTGAAAAGAACTTATTTTTAGTAATAAACAGCAACACTAAGTGACTTATACTCTATAGTGAAATCAGTTCTATTTAGCTACTTCTATTTTACTGACTTGCTTTATAAGTATAAAGATTTACTTAACTTATAAAATATCGCAACACGTTAGTGTTAAGGGACTTGTAAGAGAATCCTTTTGTAATGCAAATCATCTTGTAACACTAATTAACAATATAACATACTTTCAAAAATATTAAAATACATGTTTCTTCCATTGCTTTTACCCTTCCCCTGCTTCCATCCCTCGGGCAACATTTAGCCAAGAACAGAAAAATCAACAGCGCCGTTGAGTGGATTTTGTAAATTCATAACAGATAGGTAGGCTGATGGAAACATGCTTTTTTAAATCAGAAAAACATAAGGACTTTCTGACAGAAATTTTCTTATAATATCTAAAGGTGAATTTGGATATCAAGTTAGAATCTTGAAAACAAGACTATTCTGTGATTTCATCCCTTTACTCATTCATTCAGAAATAGCTATTGAGGGGAAATGTATGAATTAAATCTGAAAAGTACAGAGATCACATTGACGACTATGGACTAAACTGTAAAATAACTTTTCCTCATGGCACATCTTGAATTGTGTGGAAGAAAATGAAAGATAGTTAATCAAGTAGAATAGATAAAAATAATAAAACATTTCCTGCTGGGTTTCATGGATCCTATATAAAGAGTGACTGAAGGGAAATAGGTTCCTCCTGCCCTTGTGAGGAATTCAATATATTCTTTAAAAACTTCACTGTTAAAAATCCTATGTCAGCCGGGCGCAGTGGTTCATACCTGTAATCCCAGCACTTTGGGAGGCTGAGATGGGCAGATCATTTGGAGCCAGGATTCAAGACCATCCTGGCCAACATGGTGAAATCCCATCTCTACCGAAAATACAAAAAAATTAGTCAGGTGTGGTGGTGCACGCCTGTAGCCTCAGCTGCCTGAGAGACTGAAGCACCAGAATCACTTGAGCCCAGAAGGCAGAGGTTGCAGTGAGCTGAGATCATGCCAATGCACTCCAGCCTGGACCACAGGCGACTGTCTTAAAAAAAAAAAAAAATCCCACGTCATGGCAGGGGAATTGAAGAAAAGAAAAATACTGCTTCACTCTAGGTTCTCAGAGCCCAAGTTCGAAATGGGAAATAACTGGAGTCATGTACCAAGGACTTGAGACAGTTTGGCCAGGTCCTCAAATGTATCTTTCAATGGCTTACATGCGCCATTAAATCTCAGGCACCCAGCAAACTTCCTAACACTAGCACAGTACAACAGGTCCTGTTTTACCTAAAATGGAGTTTTCCCCTGCCATGCCCTCATTCCTTTATCTGGTATCTCTGATTATAAAGAACCAAACTGATGTTTTTAGCCATTGTAAGTATACAAACCCACGAAGAAATAAAAACATCTATTCACTCAAAGCCCCTTCATATTCCTTCTCTCCTAGTGTCTGTTCCATACATGGCTAATTTGCTGGAAGTATGGAGAATAGACTTACAGTTTGCTAGGCTGATTCCCCTGTAGCCATCCATTCCAAGCCTTTTCAGAGTTCTGGCCAACTCACACCTTTCGAAGACCTTGCCGTGGACCACGACAGAAAGGAGAACAAGCCCCAGAATAATGAGAACCTTCATGTTGACTGGTAAGTCAGACAGCTAGGCTGACCAGGGTGAGCAGGCTCCAGTATATAACGTCTTTTAATTTCCTTCTTCACCTTGTGGTTTGAGGGCTCCACCCTTTCAGCTGTGGGGAAAACAGGAACTGTGTATTGATCCACTAACTCTAATGAGATTTTTTAATGCTTGAAGAGAGATAAGCTGATTTCCTAAGAATTAATCTACAGGAAAATAATAAAATGACATTGTTTAAAGTACTGGCTCTGGAAGAATTGGGTATAGCACTGTTTCCAAGACAGGAACTTCCTTCTGTTTTATTATGAATTTGAGCAACTATAAAGAAAAAAACAATGACTCTTTTGTACAGCTTAAAACGAGCTGTGATTTCTGACTAACATTCAGTTTCGTGAAATTGCTTTGTATGCATTCACTATTTTATATTTATCTTTTTTACCTAAAATTATTTTACATATAATTTTCCACAAAATGAACATGACACATGTACCTGTTGTCTTAATGGGTATATAGTATGACACCACGTTGCTCAGCTAGTTTCTTACTTCAGACTCTTTTTGTTACTATAGCACATTTTTTATTATTATAAATCAGTGTTTTACTATTATAAATAAGGCTCATGTGAATAACTTTACCAACTTCACAACACTTTGCCTCCCATTTCCATGTTAGAACATAAGGGGTCATTAGAAAGCAATAGCATTTTAAAAATCAGACCTACCCAAACACATATATCCAACTAAACGCAACCTTTAAAAATAGCAATCTCACGAGGCTGTGCACAGTTTTAAAACACTGCTACCAGAACTCAAAAAGAACTGTGCTTCTGGATCTGCCTATGAAGGCAGATTCTGAGCCACACAAAATGTCATCACTTTGTAGTTACCTTTATTTTTCACAGTGGCCTCTAAAGATTACCAGATTTGGTTTTAAATGACAGTTCAAGGACCCTGTCAAAATCAAGAATGATCTCATTTTTCAGGCTAGTCCTAATTTTGATTTTTCAATAATAAATAGGGCCGGGTGCAGTGGCTCATGCCGATAATCCCAGCACTTTGGGAGGCTGAGACAGGTGGATCATTTGAGGTCAGGAGTTTGAGACCAGACTGGCCTACCTAGTGAAACCCCATCTCTACTAAAAATGCAAAATTAGCTGGGCATGGTGGAGCATGCCTATAATCCCAGCTACTCAGGAGGCTGAGGCAGGAGAATCACTTGGACCCAGGAGGCAGAGGTTGTAGTGAGCTGAGATCACCCCATTACACTCTAGCCTGGGTAACAGAGGAAGACTCTGTTCAAAAAAAAAAAATTGGCCAGCTGTGGTGGCTCACACCTGTAATCCCAGCACTTTGGGAGGCTAAGGCAGGTGGATAACTTGAGGTCAGGAGTTTGAGTCAAGCCTAGCCAACATGCAAAACCCTGTCTCTACTAAAAATACAAAAAGGAGCCTGGTGTGGTGGCATATGCCTGTAATCCCAGCTACCCAGGAGGCTGAGGCAGGAGTATCACTGGAACCCAGGGGTCAGAGGCTGCAGTGAGCTGAGATGGTGCCACTGCACTCTAGCCTGGGCAACAGAGTGAGACTTCATCTCAAATAATAATAACAATAACAATATTAATAATAATAATAAATAGTGAGACAGATTTTGGGAACCCAAAGAGACAGAAACCAGTTAAAAGAGTTAGTCTTTCTGGGTGTGATGGTACATGCCTATAATTCCAGCACTATGGGAGGCCAAGGCAGGAGGATTGCTTGAGATCCGGAATTGGAGACCAGCCTGGGTAACGTGGCAAAACCCTATCTCTACTAAAAATACCACCACCAACAACAAAAAGAATTGTGCTTGTAGTCCCAGCTACTCAGGAGATTGAGGGTCAGAGGATCATTTGAACCCGGGAGGTCGAGGCTACATAGCTGACATCACACCACTGCACTCTAGCCTGGGCAATTAGAGTGAGATTGTGTCTAAAAAAAAAAAAAAAAGAGAGAGAGAAAAAAAGGAGAAAAACGAGTTAGTCTTTGGTTCCCTTTATACCATTCCCAATTCAATACTAAAGAACGGTCAGTTATTACATATGCCGGTTTCAGCCTCATGCTGATAAGATTAATTTCTCTTTTCAAATATTTGAAGAATTATAACCTCATAGTTTCTTGAGAGTGGAACAAGCAAATACTTGCTTGTCAACCTGAACCAAGTGATAGCATGTTATCATGTGACTACTACAAAGGGAAGAAGTGTTTTGATCCCCTTAATTATCTCCCCTGGGGAAGAAGTTAAGGGCAGTTTTAACATCCATTTACAATCCTATCATTCCATTTGAGGTAGGTTTAATGAGCAATCTATTTAAAAATAAAATAGCAAGTAAGCATGATTTGAGGGCAGAGATTCTTTTTCTTCCTTAGAAGTCTTATATGTACTGCATGTTCTTTTTGATATGATGTATGTATTTTATCTTTTTAAGAAAATTGATTACAGACCCTAGATTACTTTGTTGTATTACAATGGACAATAGTCATGATTTATTCAGCTTATTTGTTTCTCAGGATAAAGAAAAACAATTATTTATGGTGAGTGTTGGGGGCTTCAGGCCTAGGAAAGGGAATTTGACTAAGGGTTTCTCATACTTTTGACTTTCTGCAAAACTAAAACCATCATTAAAAGATGAAGATATGCCATAATTTAAGATATTCTAAAGAATGTGCTATAGCCCTCTGTTTTGTTTTGTTTTTAGATGGGGTGTTAGGCCAATTTTGTTTTGTTTTGGTAGAGACAGTCTTGCTCTGTTGCCCAGGCTAGAGTGTAGTAGCACAATCCTGGCACACTGCAATGTGAACTCCTGGGCTCAAGCAATCCTCCTGCCTCAGCCTCCCAAGTAGCTGGGACCACAGGCAAGTAGCTGGGACCACAGGCATGTGCCATGACACTGGCCAATTTTTTCTTATTTTTAGTAGAAACAGAGTCCTGCTATGTTGTCCAGGCTGGTCTTAATCCTCCTACCTCAGCCTCCCAAAGTGCTTGGATTACAGGCATGAGCCACTGTACCTGGCTCTGTTAGGCCATTCTTGTATTGCTATAAAGAAATACTTGAGACTGGGTAATTTATAAAAAAAAAAAAAAGAGGTTTAACTGGCTCATTGTTCTGCAGGCTGTTTGGGAAGCATGGCATCAGCATCTGCTTCTGGAGAGGCCTCAGGAAGCTTACAATTATGGAGGAAGGTGAAGGAGGAACAGGTATTTCGAGGGGTGGGGGTGTCACACTTTACAACAATCAGACCTTGTGAGAACTCACTATAACCAGGACAGCACCAAGCCACGAGGGATCTGCCCCGATGACCCAAACACTTCCCACCAGGCCCCACCTCTGACAATGGGGATTACAATTCAACATGCAATTTGGTCAGATGATCCAAGATGGCCAAATAGGAACAGCTCTGGAGTGTAGTTCCCACTGAGAACGCAGAGGGTGAATAATCACCACATTTCCAAATGAGTTTTTACTGCCCACAGACCAGGAGATTCCTGGGTGGAAAAGCGCCACGAGTCTCCAGCATGGCTGTTTCAGCTGGTGCAGCGGGTCTCTGCACAAAAACTCACACAAATCTGGGCAGCTTTTTCAACTGGCGCCTGGAACACCTGGGAGACAGAGTTGCCCATTCAACTGAAAAAAAGGGGGCTGAAACAGGGAGCCAGGTGATTCGGCTCGGCGGGTCCCACCCCCACAAAGACCAACAATCTGAAACGCTCTGGATTGAGAGCTTCACAGCAAGCACAGCTGAACTCAGGATGATCCAGCTCTGTGGGGGGAAGGGCGTCCAATATTGCCAAGGCATTCCACCACTACTGAGACAGTCTGTCATTACCGAGGCAGTCCCCCATTAATCGAGGCAATCTGCCATTACCAAGACAGTTCACCATTACAGAGACAGTCCACCATTATTGAGATAGACTGCCATTACTGAGGCAGTTCTAACTATACCTCTATAAACAAAACCACAAGGAAATTCACACAGCAGCTGGTCAGAGCCCACGGCAGCTCAGCAACACCTCTGCTGGCAGACTGTGACTAGACAACCTCATTGCTGAGCAGGGCATCTCTGAAAAAAGGCAGTAGCATGTCAGAAACTTATAAATAAAGCCCCACCTTCCCAGGACAGAGTGCCTGTGAAAAAAAGGCGGTTATGAGTTCTGCTGCAGCAGACTTAAACCTGCCCAGCAGCTCTGAATGGAAGAACAGAGCTCACAGCTCAGCACTTGAGCTTCTATAAAGGATAGACAGTCTCCTCAAGCAGCTCCCTGACCCCCATATATCCAAAGAGACATCTCATAAGGAGACCTCAGGCTGACATCTAGTGGGTATCCTTCTGGGACAAAGATAACAGAAGAAGAATCTGGCAGCAACCCTTAGTGTTCTGCAGCCACCACAGGTGATCCCCAGGCAAGCAGCATCTAGAGTGGACCTCCAGAAGTCCTATAGCAGAGGGTCCTGACTTCTAGAAGGAAAACTAAAAAACAGAAAGAAGTAAATTGATCATCAACAAAAAGGACATCCACTCAGAGACCCCATCTGAAAGTCAGCAACTACAAAGACTACCGGTAGATTAAATCCACAAAGATGGGAAGAAATCAGTGTAAAAAGGATGAAAACACCCAAAACCAGACTGCCTCTCCTCCTCCAAGGGATCACAATTCCTCACCAGCAAGGGAACAAGGCTGGATGGAGAATAAGTCTGATGAATTGACTGAAATAGGCTTCAGAAAGTAGGTAATAACAAACTTCTCTGAGGTAAAAGAACATGCTCTAATCCAATGCAAAGAAAATAAGAACATTGAAAAACGGTTTGATGAAATGCTAATGAGAATAAACAGCTTAAAGAAGAATATAAATGAATTGATGGAGCAGAAAAACACAACATGAGAACTTCACAAAGCATACACAAGTT